GTGGGAGAACGAGCCTCGAGGAAGTGAAGGGATCCGATAGTGTCGGGGAGATCTGCGGAAAAAAGTCGCGAATCCCGCTCTTCGTATGCCAGAAGCTTGTCATGCTAGGGTGGATCGATATTCGTTGAGCACGCAGTTCATCAATCGCGTACGCAAGCCAATCAAGCGAATCAGCTTCTGTCGTTCACCGGTAAAATTCGATCATTCGAATGAGTCGACATGCTTCTCGTTCCTCGACCGAAATCGGCCCGTCAGCTCGTTGCCCTGGCTTTTCCTTCAAACAAACGAGGCATAATTTATTTCTGGTATCCGCTTCGCAGTGACTAGTACAGGAGTACAACGACGAAAGACTCATCTGACCATTACGTCGTCAGGCTCCCCTTCAAGGATAACATCCACTCCCTCGGGGACAACGAGGCTATAGCCAGATGTAGACTGCACTCGTTCCTGGAAAAACTGAGAGGTGACCCAGAGAAACTCAAAGCGGTGGACAAGGAGATGCAAGGCTACATTGACATGGACTTCGCGGTTCCAGCAGAGATGCATCGTGATAGGTAAGTACCTAGGAAACTAGTGGGGGGATTAGGGGAGGGGAGGAGGAACATCATCGATTGTCGCCGATGCCGTCTGTGGGCCCAGGAGCCCGTGGAGGGGGGACGCGGAGAATCTACTCATGCCAACGAAGACTACTTCTAAAATTACCTAGTCAAGTTGGGAAGAGAGGATTATTCTCAGTGACTCAGAAGGTTTCCCCCATTGGTAGCTCTTTGAAATAGGCAGCCCTCCGAAAGAAGGGCAGCCTTTCTCTTCCGCTGCGAGGAATTAAGAACTCGAAGAACGAAAAATCAACCAAAAGTGTCGAAGAATAGGGCACTATCAGCGCGAAGACAGGCTTCAGAGAGGAGCTGACTTGTGTCATGTGGTAGTCGAAGTTCATCCCGCTTGAGAGGAACGCATCGAAGAATTCGTCAGCTCCCTTGCACCAAGTTCTTTTCGGAGAATGATTATCTCCGACCGCTACCGTGATCTTTATGAGGAGGCCGATGATAAACGCTGGAATCAGATCTCCGAAAACCGATAGACCAGCCGATACTGAGAAAGAGAGAGACAGACCTCAACGATGTTGATCGGGGGAGATAGGAACAGACAATATCTTTTGCAGAAAAAATGAAGAGAACAAAACCGAATGTTTCCTCTCGCAGCTGATGAGCGAAACCTTTGATCTTATCGGTTCGAGTCCACGGTTCCTCACTGATCGGTTCCACGTGATCTCTCTCGCGTGGACTCTCAAGCGGAGTTCCTCCTGGCCGAAGACTCGAATTCAGAAGTAGATCGCCGGCATTTTTTCCTCCTGCAGCACTCCCGACTGGGCATCCAGAGAGGTGATTCCTGTCCTCGGGGGAAGGAGGACGACTAGGCGTTCCTACCAATTGAATTTGCCTGGTCCCGTCGGCGTCGCCTGAGAAGGGATTTGAAGAATCCTACATCTTCCCGGGTTTCTTTCGATTTCGGAACACGTTCCTTATAACTATTTTTCTGTGCTTTGGACCGAACCATGAGCTCGGCTCGGTTGTTGGACGGGGAGACCCTGCCAGTGCGGGAAAGCCGAACTCAATCGTGGAACATTCGGAGACGGACAACAGGAAATCGCCCACCAACCATCAAAGCGGATAATGGCTTGAGCGATATCCAGTGTACATATAGTTGTACATAGTTGTACATATAATTGTACACATATAATAATCGATGATCGGCGTTGGGAAGGCTCTTCCAAAGATCTCGTTCCCTGATGGTCAGTGGCGAAGATTTTTATCGAGCCGATTTTTAGGCCTCGCGCTCGAGTCTCATCGGAGGTTCTACATTCTACAGAAAACGCGTTCACATATCTTTGGGAACGAGCCTATGCAGCTAATTCCTGCCCCAGCTCACGATACAGCAGAAGTGTTTCCTAGTTCACGAAGAGCCTCTTACAACTCGTCGTGGGTCTGGAGGGATGATGCTTAAAGCCATTCCGAAAGTTTTGCGACCTCGACGCGCTCATCGAGCGAGATGAAGGCTCGGACGGCGACCTATGTCCCCGCTTCCAGTATCGATTGCTCCCCGATTCCGAGGTCATTCGAGGCTCTTATGCAGAGGATCGTTCTCGGCAAGAGATCAGACATCGAATCATAGGGTGCCGAACTCGTGCTCAGACCGAGAATAGGCCACCGAGAGCCTCCCTTGTAACTGACGGTAGCCGCACTTGAGCGTCGGGGATCACCCATATTAAGGCGAAAAAACCCATAATCTCATGAGCGAGCGCTCTTCAAGATCTCATCATTGCCTCGTCTCGGCTAGGATCGACTAAATAACGCATCTTGAGGAACTCGTCTCCGCGTTTCGAATCACGAAATCTTATGTATATGCTCTGCAGGTCTCTCTCAACCTTCATACGAGCGGGATCACGGTGACTCAGAGGATAAGCTTCCCAGTACGGGACAGTATAGCGAGTCCAGTACATCCAGAGCCCCATGTGCAAAAGTTATGGGGAATGCGCGACCCTCCATGCTGTTCGCCTATTTTACTTATTATGCGTGAGCACGTTCCGACCTCCCTATGACCTCGGTGCGTAGACGGGCATGAATCGAGCTGAATATATCTCAATCCCCTCCGCAGTTCACTGGAAAGCTCCCTCGGAAGCTCACAAACTCTCGGGGAACTCATCAGGAGATAGAATCCACTATCCTGAGGAGCCGTCTCGATAACCGAGAACCGAGACGATATCTGCCTCGCGTTCCGAGAACTTCACTCTATTCGACACCGCGGTCGGAAATCTCCGTTGAACGACAGCTCCGATGGGGAAAAAATACTGGTTCAAGCAGCAAAAACGCGATGTCTTCGGCGAGGAATCCCATCGGCTCGCCGTCTTCTCTGCAGGCGCTCTAGGACTTACTTAGTTAGAGCCAAGGCCCTAGGTCGAGAGCGCAGCCGCGGAAATTCGGTATTCCTGGGGGCCTCAATGGGTGGCGAACAGGAGACTCATTCCAGACTGTTACTGTAGACCTTTCCGCAGCTCAAGGATCGATCCCCAGAAAGCATGTCGCATGATTCGACTTATCGGTGCATGACATGATTCGGAGCGCATGGCTTGCGATGTTCTCATCATCATTCATCTTCATTCCTAGTCGAGAGCATACGGGACCTTCACTTCCCAAGGCCTGATTGTATTGAGGATCGAATTTTCTGATTTGAAATATGGGTGATCCTCTCGTGGTTCGGCGATCGATTACCAGTTTTACGGGAAGAAAGATCAGTGACGGAGTCGGGGAATCTTCCCCGATCTCAGCCAAGAACCCTGGTCTGCCCTCGTCTATGGCAGGAAGAGGTTGCGTCTCCCTCGCGTTTGCTTGTCGACGCACCTTCCTCCGCATCGATGCCTGCTGCTCACACACACTCCATATGCAGCAGCCCAACGACATGACTGCGTAGCTGATGGCCCTTATCTCGCATAGCAGAAGAGCTAAGTTTCGCTCACCCCTCATACACACCTCAATAATTATCAGCTCGCAAGCTTTGGATTTTCGTTCCCGCGGAGACCCGTGGGTACTGTGCGACTCCTCCGATAATATAGGAACGTCAAGCACCTCTGGAATGATCAAGAGGAATATATTCTCGCCTTTATTCCAGGAGTGAAAAAGCTGGAAATCCCTCTCAGGAGCGAGCAAATATTCGATTCGTGTCTGTGGTCCGACGCCAACCACCGGGTCAGTCAGGAGTGCTCTTGAAGGCAATCTCCATATATCCTACGCATGCCGCGATCCAAAGTCATCGCATCGACTCACAGTCGACGTAGTTTCATCGCGGTTCGGTGCTTCTGCGGAGAGCGGAATCACCTATCTAATCCATGGTCGCGCAACGGCAGTTCGCGCAATGTTTCGATAGACTGGCATTTCATCAGGGCGGGTCGTTCGTAAGCAGTCAGTGAAGAGTCAAGGGAGTCTTCCGAAGCTCCGATCTGCCGTGACCCCGCATGATCCAGGCGTGATACCATGCGACACGTATATCCAATATGAAATATTTCAGGGAGCCACAAAGATATCAGATCTTCGGGACCAGGAACCAGCAACAAATGACGCCCGAGCATACTCGAATCCTCAGCAAAAATCATGGATAACACGGCCGTCGCTTTTTAGTCGCTAGAACGTTCTCTCCAATATTTTTGCCGCACGTCTCTTTCCTAAACTTGCCGCATGAGTTGATGCACCGGAAAACTTTTCATACCATACACGCGCGTGCAAGAGTACGCCTCTCCTCTACAATTCAAACGCGCGAGCCGATTACGGCGTACCGTAAAGACCGCTGACTGGTTGCCTTCGCTGCTTCTTGCTCGTTGGTGGCGGTCTGCTGTGTCTGTTCGTGTCGTCGTCGTCTGTGTGAGAGGAGTGTGTGTCTGGTGTGTCTGCTGCGAGCGAACGAGTCTGTGTGTCTATCTTCGCTCGGCCCGTTCGGTCGTCGCTGGCTGCCTGCTATAGCTGGGGCTGCTGCTTCTGGCCTAGGACTGAGTGAGGAAGAAGAAGAATTCTCCCTGATCATGGCTGTCGGCGTGTGTTCCGTCCACTGAGTCGTCGTGCGAAGTGTCCAGCGTCGCGTCGACGAATGGATTAGAGACCGTCGTAGGCCTTCCTGCCTGACTGCTGCTGCTGGTTGTTGGCGACGACGGCAGCAACGACGAGGACGTCGGCTACAGTTGCCACCGAGAGTGGCCAGCCACCAAAGCGGAGAAATCCTTTAGTGATTGTTACAACACGGTGAAACGTCGGGAACCACTACAACGACGTCGGCGGCAGCGACACCACGAACACCAGCAACGACGACGACCATCGCCGCCCGTGTTACTACACCATCGAGCAGCAGCACCGACGACAGCTGCAGCTGCCTAGAGGCTACATCACGTCGATCCGGTGAAACCTCAAGATTGCGCTGCGGCAGCGGTTGGCTGCCATCAGCTGCACGGCTGCAAAATGCAGAAAGACGACAAAGACGAGAGCAAACGAGCCACCGCAGGGTCCACGGCCCGCAGCAAACAGAGCGTCGTGATTCAGTCTCGTACGCCAACAGGAGGTTCGAATGGTCCTCAAGGCGTGCTCATGGTGGGGCCGAACTTCAAAGTGGGCAAGAAAATCGGTTGCGGGAACTTCGGCGAGCTCCGACTCGGTAAGTCCATTAGCGGTAGCCGTCGTAGCCTAGATCGAGAAGCTCCCTGGAAAGGTGTCAGACTTTCAGTTTTTCTTGAGTCTCCGCTTTCGTGCGTTCGTTTGTTGGCGGTGCTGCTGGACGATCGTTCGGCCGAACGACCGGCCAGCTAGACAGTCCGTCAGACAGTCAGTCAGTCAGTTAGTTCGCTAGCTTGCTAGCTCGTTCAATTGCTACCTTGTTGGCTGAAGCTCGTTCTCTACGGCTGTCGAGATCTCGTTAAATCGACGAGAACATGAGTGAACATGTCTCGGAAGACGTCGTTGAGTCGTAATCGAGCCCAATTCGAAACTTGACAATAGCTTGGCAAACCGGAAAGGTCATGCCACCTTGGTCACGGGATGGATGATAACAAATTGAAATTGTATCACCCTCCAAGTGCGTGCGCGTGTGTGCTTCCCAAAAGGTAGCATCCGCAAAACGGTCATGAGTCAACAGCTAGCCAGCCAGCGAGCGAGCGAGCGAGCGACCAAACAGATAAATCATCATCATCATGAGCGAAATGAGTGGGTGATCCTTCTGCGTCCAGTGGCCGGCGGCAGAGATCGAGTTGAAAGGCGCCAGCGATCAGTATTTCCAAGTTCCATCCGGCCTGATCAATCGATCGGTTTCGTAGTCGACACTCATTGTTGTGGCCATCTTCGTGTGCTAGTTCTTACTAGAGCTGGTGAAAGTGTTATTGATAACAATACTATTCATGTGGAGGGCATGGCATTTCCTCAGCCGGCAGCTCCGTTCTCATAACGGGCTGAGAAGCTCATCAATCTGGAATATTTTATGCCCGAGCACTGCGGGGCGAGTCATCGCCATGGTTCCGTCGGGCCGGCAGGCTGAAGTTTTGCGAATCAGGAGGGACCGAGCGAAATTCCACGCTCGGATTCTCGGATTTTCCTAATATAAGAGATGTGTTTCGATTCGATTTCCGATTCGGTGTAGCCGGACCTCAATCGGTTCAACTCAAAGTTGACAGAGCTCGAGGGATCAAGATAATCGTGATGTAAGTTCCTGCGATAATGACGCTGATGCAATGTCATTGATTTCTGAAAGGTGGCAACATCACAGACATTGGAAGCTGAAATTTAGATGATATCATGCACCAGAGAGATGCTCTCGGACATTATCGTACGCGGAATATCCAGATCGAGTGGTGAGTGGTGACGGGAGACAGTATCTGCGAACGCTGCGATGCGGCTAGGAGCGATCAATCACCATGCGATCTTAATTTTTTTGAGGATAATGACTTCCTCTCTTCCGTTCCCTTGCTGAATGGCTCTAGTTCTGCCGCCGTGTAGCCACGGGAAGGTTCGTCATTAAACTCGGTCGACTCATTGGTTCCGCGATCGATGAGGCCTAGAGGACAAGACGATGAAGGATGCGACTTGCCACGTTTCGCCGGAGCGTCCTCACTTGCGAATTCGACTATTTTCTGTCGACATACGTAATTTTGGGAAACGTCTTCCTGGCGGTGCTGACAGCTCGAACCTCGGGGCGTTGAACCGGCATGTCGGGGGACCGTTTCCATCATTACTCGTGATGCTCCTTCCGCTGATATCTGATCTGTCAGGTTTCGTAGGTCGTAGGTTGCCTTCCTTTTCCCTCGCTCCAGAGCTCCCGGTGTGGCACATTTTCCGTCGTGCGCTCCCTATATCGCTCCCGATTGATTGACTGACTGTCTGTCCGTCTGACGAAGGTCGGCGAAGCAGCTCACGTCTGTGTCTGTAAATATATCGAATAGACTCTCCACCTTGTAGGATAAAGCGCCGGGCAGGACTCCATGTGGTGGTGCCGCGTAGCTTGGGAGATATTTCAACTTTTCCACTTCAAACGATTCTCGACCCCAACGATCATTTTCCTCGCTACTGGACGAGATCTTGGTAGGCTCGAATTACGGGAAAGCACGGTCTGTAGCTCATATCAGATGAGTTCGATTGAGAATCTCAAAGTTCACATACATTCGAGACATCGCGAACTGTGCTTGGAAGTTTCCGCGTGGGAAGTCTCCCACGTCGGAATTCGAGAGCGAGCTCGCGGTTCCACATCGAGGAGTTCCCTCGGAGTTCCCCGTCGAGCCCAGAGAGCGCATTTGCTGCAGCTCCTCCTCGATAATGATCTCAAAGCAGAAAATTTTTGGGTCCAAGCCCCGGCCTCTTAATCTTGTCGAGCGTGCCCTCTCCTCCGTCGGCCAAATTCTCACCTTATGAGCCGAGAAATTACGCTGACGTGAGAAACGCTGTGTGCATCCACCTCACTGGAGACTAAGCGCGATCTTCTACGATTAAGTCGTCAGAATCTCTGGGAAATCTTCTGATTCTCAGAACTTGCGGACTCTCGCTGAGGGAATCCGAAGGCACAAAGGGGAACAGCATCCAATCCGTTCACGAGGCAACGACATCAGACCGAATGAATATTATGGTTTCCAGAGTATCGGGGGAGAGACGAGGGCAACCCGCAAGGGGAATTCGGGAAAAATCGGATAAATGGGAAATCATGGCGAACTATGCGTCGTCGGCTCGCTCTAGGATTTCCCTGCCTGGAGCATCGTTTCATCAGGTGGTCTCAGCTCGCCGAGTAGCCTTCATTTGAGCCGGCGGCCAGTTCTGCTTCTGGGAGTCAAGGTAGACGTCAGGCTGGTGTGCAGTGTAATAAGCCAGATCTATTCTGCCATGTCTTTGCTAGCCTTCAACAGCTCCAAATGAACTGAGCGAGCGAGTGAACACCCTGCCGCAACCTTCGGTTGGCCGACCCGCTGAATACAGTCGTAAATCGGAGATCTCTCTCACACCAGCGTTCAAAAAGAAAACAAACGCCCGACGGCAGCTGATTTTTCCCCGAGGTTCGCGCTCTCGTAAGGGCCCACTTCGGCTCGAGGCAGTCATCGATTCTCAGTTCCTTCTCTGAACCAGAGTTCCGCGACTGCTCGAATTCTATATCGAGACGTCTCGGTGATCGGAGCGCAGCCGAGGAATCGATGCCCTCGATGATTCTGGTGAGAGGACGAGGCTTCCAGCACGCGGGGAAAACTCGAATTACGCGAACTTCAGCGAGCGGCAAGAATGCGACAAGCCCTCTTAAGTGCCGCATGCTCATCCGACAAACATGCAGTGCACGCGTGGATGTAGAAGCGTCTCGTGAACCAAATCGATAACGTATCGACTCTCCCGAGGACCATTGAATCTCGACGTGCATAGGAAGTTCGCCGCGGTGTGAGAATTCCGGTTGAGCAACCGAACTCGGCGGGAAGCGAAATACATGTAATCTAGGTGATGTTCCCGAGCTGGGTCGAGGAGACCGGCTGTCACGGTTGAATACGGAAATAGAGAAAGTCGGTTGAAGGGGTAGGAGGAGGGATTAAGATCCCGCTTGGCCGTCGAACCGCTGGTGCTGTTGCGATCGAGAGCTTCCGGCTCATTGCGAGATAAAGGACTTTCGTTCCGGACTTTCGTTTGCGTGCGTTGGGTTCTCGAGTGTTGAGGTGACGGTATCCCTCTCCTGCTGGCGCTACCTCAAGAACCGACGAGACGCATGCGTGAAATTGATAGACGAGAGCTCTTGAGACGAAAAACCCAACGAAACCGCGTCCCGCTTACGGAAATCCATTTCCCCTTTGAGAGAGGCGCAGACATCCCGAGTAGTTTTCTGAAGGCTCCGATTCAATAGCCTCGAACTCGTGGCATCAAAAAAGGAAAACTGTCGGATTCTGCGCACTAAGAACACCTGTGCTTCTCAGCCCCTCTCCATGCTCGCGTTCCAAATAGTAAGCGTTGATGATCGTTGGCTCTTGTTATTCTCGCAGTTTTCTATGGTAGGATATTGTTGTCCGAACCTGCTCGCCTGCCTCTTGAACGAGCTCATCCAGCAGTGTCGGGATAGAGTTCTCTCGAGGGAACGAAACTCTGCCGACCAATGCTTCAGCTAGTCGTCCTGTTTTCCCAGAAAAGCACCAGAATGTCCTTGTGTGAGGAAACTGGATGTTCTTCCTGCATCATTCTGACTTCTAAGGCGTTTCCCCGAGATGGGCGTCATTAATTTTTTGAATGGAGGAATTTTTGTGGAGAGCAGGAGGACTTCAAGGAGTCGAGAGCCTTCGGCGTAGCCCCGAAAGCCCGGGATGTGTCTCCTAGCAGATCCTCTAGCTGAGACGTCCTCTCTACAGGCCTCAAGAAACTTTTCATATACAAGCTCTCGCTGTGCGGACACATTAGAATTTCCGCATTATTCGAAATCACTCGTTCCGCCATTGGGTTTCGGAATTTTTCATCCAGCTTCCGAGTTCTAGACGAAGATCTGCGCCATATCCTCAGAATGGTGGATCTCGAGCTTCGATATCCGGGCAAATGTGTGATGATTTATCACCGGGAGTTTTGACTCTTTCGCTCAGATATCAATCGATTGGTTCATCAAGCGCTTAGCGAAATCCGATCTCCAGCGCGGCGGAATGTGACTTGAATAATTCCTCCTCCAACCCAATGATTCGTGGCTCGTATACCCCGATAGGAAATAGACGGGCCGATGCGGAATCGTCCGCTGTGTTTCCCTCATGGTCCAGTTTTGAGACGGGGGTCCATGCTTTGAAAAACTCTCCCTCGATGATTTCCCCGGGGATTTCGGACAATTGAAAACGACCCGTGAATAGCTATCCATTTCTGCCTCCAAATCTCTATCTCATGACCGCGGACAGTCGAGAATAGACGAGGCGATCCACGCCCTAGACCTCCACCAATTGTAGGTTTTTGTCTTTTGCGGCTACATGCCTCCTTGCGTTCGCGTGTGAAGGTCTTGGAAACGCTTCCGTGACCTTTTCAGGCTATAAAAAAGCTCTATTAGCCTCTTTGTGGCAGTCGCCATTTTGAGATCCCCTCGCAGCGGGAGGATGGTTTTCTTCTTGCTAGCGTTTTAGCTGTCATTATAAACGGATTATACTGTTTTCCGGATTGTGTACATCGCATTTCGACTGCGGGAGGTTTCGGCTTAGCTTGCTGGGTGAATGACTCAATCGAGTTTCGACGAGAGGTCACCGAGCTCGGGGAGACTTATCTCGAGTGATTTGGAGACTTTCTATCGAAAGTCATGAGGGCTTGAAATAGAGTAAAAACTTCTTGTTTGCGAATTGGATCTCTCGAATTTCGTATCATTGCCTTTCACCATCGGCCTCCACCATCGGCCGCTCTCGCATGATGATATCATCATCCACTCGATGCGGCAATCATACCTCCGTGGATCGCTCACCGTATCGATCCGGGATTCCTCCACAACTCAAGTCGATCCTACACCTTGAGAGTAAGCCCCGATCTCTTCTTTTTTTCAGGCAAAAACCTCTACAATAATGAGCACGTGGCCATCAAATTGGTGAGTTCAAGCCGCCCCCAGGATTTTCATTTGAATCGCCCTCTTCTTTTCACTCATCGATCGATCGGTTCATCGATCTCCTTGATTGGAACTAGGCCCGACCCCCGAGCGAGTTGATGGAACTTCTCTTCGATACTCACTCGGAGACGCGCTCTCGTGAGAGTTTCAAGGCTCGCCTCTAAAAGCGGATCCCCCCTCGAAGTCTCCGAGGGAATGTGAAGGGTTCAAAGATGATCAAGGTCTCGAGAATGATTTGCGCCTCCAGAAGTAGAGCGTATGATCGGGGCTGCACCGAAAGTCTTTTTAGCAGCGGGGCGAAGATCCTCAGCAATTTGCAGTGCGAGAGCAAGAGTGGCGAGTACGACGGATAACAGACGACGGATACGACGTATCGATCTTCGAGCTCGGCTTCCCGGGAGGTTCGCGGGTCAGGCAGAGTTTTCCCGAACGGGAAGCGCGCGGTACGGACCTATTTCCTAAGGCATCTCGTCCGAGCGGAAACCAAATACGTTGGGAGCCATGGGGGCAGAGACTCACTCAGCCGCCGAAAGCCCCAAACAAATACCCTGCCAGCGTGCGGAAGCGGACGGAATGAAAATTCGCGTGGGTTTGGGGGTCGTACACACGGATTTGAGTTCGAATGCAAACGTCTCTGTGGTCGACCGCAGACTCATGGTCCCATCGCATTTCTCTTTGCTGATATGCTCTGTGTGCCGGAGCGAACCGCATCGAGTCTCGGACAAGGAATCATACATCACGTGTTCGACGTGAGAGCACCGCTTAGCTGGAACTCGATTATTCGAATGAATCATTCAAATCTCCTAACTTCGAGAACTGGCCCGCAGCTGCGAGGTCTGTCGAGTCGAAGCCGATTCCTCCATGGTTTTCCCGAGAGCCGCCAACGAGACAGGAGACCTCAGTTAGATGCCTGCCTCTTTTCCAAAAGTCCGAACGATTATTATGAGCCAACCTTGAGGCTGACGTGAATCGATGTCATCAGCTCACGCCGCCTGCCGCGCCGGAGACGTTGATTGTAGAGAGCTGTCGATACTCCGACGGGTATCTCGATCGGTCAGAAACGATGGACAGAGATAGCTTGGAATCATTTAATTTTCGCCGCTCGTTGCTCTCGATCCGAGGGTCGTTCCGTCACCCTCCAGAGAGGAAGGTTACGCCTAGGCTCGCGTCGCTATGCTTCTAAATTTGTATCAATCTCCAACTTGGATTTGTAGAGGCCTTCGTGAGGTGGGAACCTCGTTCTGTTCTCGGGCTGACGAGAGCTATTTCCGTCGTCGGCCGGATCTCTGCCTTTCACTCGAGCATCGAGCGGAGGCGTTCTGGGGGAAGATGACTTATCGCGTATCATCCATCACGAGGCGGACCATCGTCCGTAGGAGGATAACTTACGATGGCCATCACGAGAACCTGATTCCCCTCGATCCGATTAGGTCTGAAATTAGAGGAGTCTGTCGGAGCTCGAAAATGGGAAATGAGCGCGTCGAGAGAGCGACGCGAGTGGTGGTGGAGGACCTTGTGCTCTTTATCTGTATCCGTTTCTTATCCCTGAGACTCCGTCCGACTAGAGGAGTACGAATCTGCTCGGCTGATAGACTCACGATTCCGGTTAGAAATGTGTATCGCAACATGAATATACAGGAAGCTCCCCGATGCGATCGATGATAAGGAAAGGACTCCAATGTGGCCGGGAGCAGATCGATGTGCCTGCTCAAAACTCGAGCCGGAGAACGTCATGCGGAGAATCGAACGACATTGGTTGCGTGATGATGGAAGCTCGAACCAGATTCCGTACAATGAGGGAAACGAGGGGAGAAGCTGCGACGGAGCTCCGCTGGGACTTGGGAACTCTCGCTCCAATAAGTCGACTCTCATCTCAAGGCATTGGGACCGCTGCTCGTGGATGAACGCGATACATGTACTGATTCGGGAACTCATATATGATTTCCATTGATGGTGGCTCAGATACGCTCGGCATGCAGGCTCCGTGGAGGCCTTAGCCTTGACCCCGGGCAGATACTCCGGTCCGCTCGCCTCTTCAGACGCGAAAAAAAAGGAGTTGTCCCCTTCCTTCATAATTGGAGGGATAATTTTCGATTGAACCTCCAAACAAAATAAGGAAGACAAACTCAGGATCGTCCGGAGCTCTTGAGCGATCATACTGTGTACGATATATTGTATGATGGGACACATGTGTCTATCGATAGCCCCTTCGAATAACGTTCTCTCTCTTGACGCATTACAGGAGGCGATGAAATCGAAAGCACCTCAATTGCATCTCGAATACCGGTTCTACAAGCTGCTGGGGAATGCTGGTAGGTGAAACCTCCTCTCTTCGAACTATCTGGCGATTCTCCGGGACAGTCTAGTCCCAAGAGTCAGCCTGGATTTTCGAAAGAGCAATCAAATCTCTGCGCGATGGTCATTTCGAGCCGGGTCCGGTCCATGTACGCCAACACATATGCATAGGATGCGAAAAAGCTACGGAATGAGCATTTAGCGCTTCAAAAAAAAGGCATCATGGTAACGGACTGGAAGCGAGGAAAAAATAGATTCGGAGGAGTCTAAGGCGTCGATCCAGGAATTCCTTAGGCGTGACTGGAAGTCTTGAGGATTCCGTTCGGGAAAGAGTCGGAGGAGAGTAGAACTCGATTCTTGCGGTCGGAATACGCAGCCTGCACCTCTGCTGGAGCGAACAGCATCAGCATCGGCTACTATCCACCAGAGACGGGAATCATGTCGGGGGCCGTAATATGATAGATGCGTTCCATTATTAATTCTCATCTCCTCTTTTTCTCTTCCAGAGGGTATTCCTAAAGTTTATTACTTCGGGCCATGTGGCAAATACAACGCTTTAGTGATGGAACTTCTCGGGCCAAGTTTAGAAGACCTTTTCGATTTGTGCGATCGGCGGTTTTCACTTAAAACAGTGCTGATGGTTGCGATTCAGCTGTTGCATCGTATCGAATACGTTCATACAAAGCATCTGATCTATCGTGACGTGAAGCCGGAGAACTTTTTAATTGGCCGCACTTCAACCAAAAAGCAGGACTGCATACACATCATTGACTTCGGACTCGCCAAAGAGTACATCGACCCGGAGACTAACAAGCACATCCCATATAGAGAACACAAGAGCCTGACGGGGACAGCGCGATATATGAGTATTAATACACACTTGGGTAAGTGTCCACTTTGACTGCCTCCGATCTGAACCGATCCTAACTCATTGTGTGGATCTTCCTGAGTGGGCAATATTTCAATTACAGGCAAAGAACAAAGCAGGCGAGACGATCTTGAGGCGTTGGGCCACATGTTTATGTATTTTCTGCGAGGCTCATTACCCTGGCAAGGCTTGAAAGCCGATACGCTGAAAGAACGCTACCAAAAAATCGGCGACACGAAGAGGAGCACTCCAGTCGAAGCTCTATGCGAAGGATATCCGCCAGAGATGGCTACTTATCTGAGGTGAGTTTTTCCCCGGGGAGAGCACCATCTAAAAAATAGCGAGCTAAATCTTCGTCAAGCTTTCCAATGCACCTCCACGATCGGCATTGAAGGAGTTTTTCTTCGAAATCAAACGAAACTTGTCGTTTCAGATATGTTCGTAGACTGGATTTCTTCGAGAATCCAGATTATGATTATATGCGCAAATTGTTCAAAGACCTCTTCGACCGCAAGGGCTATGTTGACGATGGCCAATTCGACTGGACCGGCAAGACGATGGTGGGTGTCCGAGCGGCCACGTTATTCTATTCCGAGAGTCCAGCATCGGGGAATCTGTTATTCATTCGAACGGGGACCGCGAGTGTCTCATTAGACCCTACTCCATACCCGTTCCATGCGGTGACGTCGAAATAACGCGATGTTAACATTGGGCCTCCTGACGCTTCCAGGGTGGGAGCTCTTCGGCTGGTACGAAACCCACTTGGGCCAGCGGGGATGGGGCGGGTGGTGGTCATCTGAATTCCGGTCTCAAAGCATCCGGAGCTCCTGGCGCCGGTGGAGAGAAGGGAACTTCGGTAGACCCCAGCAATCCCCTTGGCCAGCTTCAAGGATCTGTGCAGGTGGTCAGTTCGACAGTCGGCGGTGAAGGTATCGCGGATGACCCTAATATGGGTCATTCCAACACCCCCATCGCTGTTCCTGTCGAAGTAGAAATCATCTCGGAGACAAAGTGCGTCACCGGTGCCGAAGTGCCGGATTTATCTATTTCCGCTTCTAGATTCTTGTTCCTCGATTTTGTGATATCCCTTACCGATTGTTCTCGATCGAGCATAAGTGTCTCACTGTTTGCTCTCTGTTTTGCAGATGTTGCTGTTTTACGAAGAAGAAGAAGAAACTGAATCGACCAAAGTGACGGAGTTTAGATTGTGGCTTGGGTGCAGGGCATCTGCAATGTGGATTGGAACATCGCGAACCCGAAGCGATAATTTTACTCGCCGGGTCTTCTTAGAGGGGCAGAACGGATAACACCAGATTCCAGACACACACAATTAAATGCAGAATAGAGAGGGACATACATTCATGCGATTCCAAACATTTGCTGAAACTCGGTCTCAGTCGGTACTCGGTACCCAAGAAATTCCCGAATATCGTGTATTTCCCTCTCTTATCCGATTGCGATGCGCAGCAGCGGTGTCGATTGGCCATCATCGGAATTGATAATAATTTATTCTCACGCTCCGTGCATCCATGAGGATAAGAGAGATTGCTAGACCGCCGCTTGAAAATTTAACATCGTCAAGAATCGAAATATGTACAGAAGAAGAAGCGGAGAAGTCGCTACACACTCAATCAGAGAAATTCATCTCAACAAGCCGATTACAAATTTTAGCTCGCTGGCGGAAGTTGTTGACGAGGTCTCGGGAGAACGACGCCGAGAGTCTCGGCTCCTCGACTCCACTCCTATACATCCCGGGAAGTGAAATACAAAGATACAGACGGAACGACGACAATATCCGCCCTCAAGATTGGGAAATCCCCCTTCCACGCCCCACCCTCTCGTCTTCCCCTTGACATTATTCATCGAACTTCTTCGATTCTCGTTGTTCTGCACGTCCCAAATATGTTGGCTGACTCACCGTGAAAAGATGTTGCTCTAAAAGTTCGTGATTCAGCGGAGAAAGAACAAGAGACAACATCATATGAACAAACAAACCGCCCTAGTCCAGCGAGTGGGCATCGGGGGTTGGTGGTTCGCGCGAGAAACCTCCAAATACGCGATACGAACCTCAGCCACGTTGGCCCTCTTAGCAGAAGTCATTGTATGTGTATGATGAAGAAACGACACTTTGGTGAAATTATATGTGGCCTGCCGACAGCAATCGTTGTGGACGCGACCGGTCCACCCTCAATGTCGATAGCAACTTGAAGATAATGATAATGATGCATGATAATTACATACAAAGAAGAGAAAGGCTTGGCTCGAGAAGCTCGTCCCGTCGCGTGGACTCGCGCTGACTCGAGTGACCCTACAGCGTCGTTAGTGACCGTTCATGATCTTGAGCCGCGGCGTCAAATGAATATCGGCAATGGATGTCCCGGGGAACGTTTCGAGAGTAACCTCGAATTATTCCGGTGAGCGAATCCGAACCTGGTGGAGAAAAATCCTTTCTTTAATCAAACAATGCACCGTGAGATCGACAACGAGCAATAAGTGCCGCGGCAATCGATGTTGATCATTACGATGAAAATTACGATGACGAATGCAATCGATGAAAGCGATCAACATGAGCGCGGCGAATCTATCTGAGACTCGATGCTTTACTACCGGAGTTCCAAGTTCCTTCTGGTTCGAGTCCGCCGTAATTCCTGACCTGAAAGTCTCGTTGTCCGAAGCTGCTCATAAATCCGGAATAATTATAATGTTATTGGAAATGAAGTTCATGATGGGGTCGTGAGCGACAAGAAAATGAGGCGAGATGAGAATTGAAATCACAGACGGCGGTTCCTCACCGGGGAGAAAGGGAAACTATGATGGTTCCAATGATTCGAAGAGAAAGCCAGAAGCGGAAGCTCCGAATCCGATCGGTCTGGCCGCCGTCGCTATCGTAATCATGATCAAGAGTTTCAAATCAAGCAGGGATCGGATCTATTGAGACTGCTGTCCGAAGGCATCAATGTATCACTTATCATTAATTTTTTTGTCAATCTCATCATGAAGTTAGTAGTATGTTTTTCATGATCCGATCATTGTCGTTCCAATAGCCAGGTGATGAATTTGACAGAAATTAACGGGAGATCTTATTCGGCATCCGCCGTCGGATCAGTGGTCGGAGAACCTCTGGCTTCGGTCTCCTGGAGGTCGGAAATCGAGGCGCTGTAGATGGAGACGGTGATCTAATTCGATGATGTTGTAGCCGAAACAGCGCGAGACTAGGAGTCCACCTGAACGGTGCCTGCCGGCCCGCCGTAGAGTGTCAAGCGGATGGAGCGAATATATGTACATAGTTTGTTGGCTTTCAGGCCTTTTTCTGACCCGAATTCTTTGAGGTAACTTGAAAAAAAACGTGGACAACAACAGCAAAGATGTGGAAGGTGAAAAGCAGCATCGAAATGATTATCGAGCTATTGACCGACCGACCAGAATGTGGAGAAGGGCGGCTGTCAGCGATATGGTGATCACGAGGAAGAAAATGACAGAATGGCGATGAATTATGACGGAATGAATATATGTATTATTATTATTAAGTAATATTACTAGTAAACAATCTCATTTAGTGTATTTCAGCTCTAGTGTTTTCATTCGTCCTGAGAAATCCTTGTTTCGGGAGGTATACGGGGCTTCTGGCGTCAGCCAAGACGTCCGTGGATGCTCTCTTCTTTCCCCTGAGCGGCGCATCGCGTCTCCGACGCATTCCCAGATCGTCCGGTCCGGTCTTGCCTTTAGGGCATTCGATGCTTACCATGGAATCCGAGGGAATACTTTCAGGGGCGGGGGAGTTAGCTGCTGCGCGAGCAAACATTCAGCGGCAGAATATTCTCTCCAGTCAGAAGTCTCGCTTGCTTGAGATTCTCCACCCCTGAAGCAGCTCTCCCGAGCATCTCACCCCGGGGGCCTCAGCGAGCCCTCCCGCTTGATTTCCGCTCAGGTAGACGACGCCGGCGTATGATCGGTGACCTGTGTCGAGGATGCGGACCCCGGCAGAGGGATCAAGCGACCTCCAGGTCGGAGACCTTCCGCTTGGAAACCCGAACGACTCCTGATTATCGATCTCCTTGACAGATAGAAGTACAGCCGCACTCCGGGCGGTAAGATCAGAAGTACGGTGCCCTGACTCCAGCGTCCTAATCATCCGTCGCTGGCACATCGAATGCTTTGGGATCTCGAATTTATCCCATTGTGCTCCGCAGCGAGCGATGGTGAATCCTCATGTGATAAGTGCTGAATATGGCGAGCATCTCAAAGAATGAGTGAGTTCGAGACGGGCTGTAGAGGTCCGCTAGGTGACGAGTGAAGAGTGCGGCGGAAGAAGTCCCGATACTGAGGCTTGTTATTTCCTCCACTTTTATCCCAGAAATCTCGCACGGGAGTTCTGACGAGGACCCCCGGGGGATTCCCCAGGAGGCACCGGCATTATTCAAGCGCTATGCTCGGTTTCGTGTCCGACTTGACGCGCCGACGATGCGATCACCTTGTTAGGCTCTCAATCGCCGACGGAAGTCGCCCAACTCCGACGTCGCGTCGCGAGAGAGCGGGAATGAAATCTTTGCGAAAGCCAACAATGGACGTAAGTCCTTCACCCTCTCGCTCTCGTGGACGCAAAGCGCTCGCCGCTGAAGAGAGCAAAAACCATCCGAATTTCACTTCGAAGCGGATCACACCCTCGAATGAATTTCAGTCTCCTCAGACTTGCAGTCGGGCCGTGAAAAAGCGTCGCATTCCTTACGTTATGTCTCGGCTGGATGGCTGGATTGTCGACGCATCATCCTATCCGATCGTAGTGTACCCTAAGCATTCTAAGGAAAATGAGGAGCGCTCCGGGGACGCATTTTTCGTTCGCGGCACTCATGCCGGGATTTTCCCTTTCGGCGGTAGCTCGACGCCTGGCGCCGTGAAACGGTTAGAGTTCCTCGCTCACCCGCGCTTTGTTTTCGAAATTCGAAAACCTCTGCGTATCGTGGCTCGGAACTGTTCTCATTCGAGCGCGTGAACCATCTACTCCGATCGTGTTCCCATCTTGAGCCGGCGAAACTGTTGGATGCGATCGGATCCACTGATTTCCCTGAGGAATTGATTCCGTTATCTTCGGATGGTCCAATCTGAACCGGAACTCTACTGAGGTTTCTGTTCGCGGATCATTCCTTACTTGAGGCGCGATACCGACTAAAAACTGTGATAAATATCCCGCAGGAACCCCCTCAAGATGCCGAAAGGTGAGCGTAATCTGAAGTTTACCCATAATTCTACCGAGACAATGCCCTCACATTTCCGCTGGACCGATGCGAGTGATTCTGGAAGCCGCAATCAGCGCCCGCTTACCCTATGGCCGCGGACTGAGTCCTGTACAGATTCAGTCGCGCGATCCATTCCAGCTCCCTTTCCATGGGCTCCTTGTTGAAAAAAGGCTGGAAACCTTGTTCCCCGAGGAATTCCTCAAAAGTCGAATCAGCCATTATTTGCTGAGCGTCGCCGGAGAACCGTTACTCGTCGAAGTAGGGCTAATACCAATTGAGGCCCTTTGGGTTTTTCTCAAGAGGTTCAGACCGGAAACAATCATTGCTGTCGGGGTATCGGTTCAATCGTCTTTTATAATCTTTCTTCATCGTCATCGGCGAGTCAGTCAAAGATTTTCGCAGTTGAAGGCTCAGGTTAATTCGGATGATTCTCTTTCAGCGAATCGTCGCAATAGGCCTAGTAACAAGCAAAGACGCGCCTTCTTCATAAAATCGGTCGCGTACTACCATGGGAACCTTTTGGTACACATTCAAAATGTGAATACATGGGAAAGACTGGAGCATGCTTTGAAGAATATGAAAAAAGACAGAAAAATCGAGGAAGAGCTATCCCGCGGCGATCACGTCATCGTTTCGATAGAGCGCTCAGGGAAGAGGCATTTGTGAGTAGGAAGTTCCCGTTACATATAATTGAGAGACCGTGTTCTTCCACGGGAAATAGAGAACACACGCGGAGTGTGTTATCGAAGTATTACAATCATTATCAGATCATATTGGATTTCCAGCTGTCGTGCCGCGATCGATGCCATCACCAGTCCCACAACGGTGGACGCCACCGACATGGACACGAATGAGTATTATTCCGACGTACGTTGAGACTTGGCGAAATCATTGCCTCACTCGGTTTAGACACCAGAGGTTCCTTGACGACTTCAAAATATTGAGGGACGGCGACCGTCTTTGCAGGTAGACCGCAAGAACATCTACAGCATATTCAATCTCGGAACCAAAGACCTAATAGAGGCACCTGAGTCGAAGGCGCATTTCGTCCACGGGTTCCACACCGCTGGTACTATCGTGAATCCGAAACAGATCGGGAAAATCTTCGAAACCGTGAAGGACAAGCGTTGGCACATCCAAAAGACTAACGAAAGACACGCGATCGAGGCGGGGACTGCAGTCGTGACTTTCACGACGGAGGACGGTAATCAACCCTTCGAAGCCCTCGTTGACGTCGAACTCTGCCGGATGGAAGATGGCGGTGAGTGGAAGAATTTCTCATTCATTGTGGTGGAGGATATCGATTATGGGCAGAAATAAGTCATCATTCGTGATCCTTCTGGCAAATGAGATCCTCGGGAGAAATCCCAATATCTTCGTCTCACTGGAACCGTTTTCCGGAGCAGTCATGCCACCCCTGATAGTCGACTCGAAGGAGCAGGTTCGAGTTCTGCAGTCGGAGCGTACGCTCACGGGCCAGTTGAATTACCTACCGCTGCAAGATCTGCGACGTCTGGAGGCCCTCATGTCGAATCTTGCTGGGCTCCAAGGCTCGAATGCTTGCGACGCGTCATCAACCCACCCGAATGATCTGGTTTGCGCGGTCTACAACAATCGCATGGTCAGAGGTAGGTGTAAACGCATGATTTGAATCCGGAGGGGAAACGCTCGCCCCGATGGATCGAATCCTCTTCTGACAATATTCAGAGATCCTGTCTCTCCAATCGATAAATTAGTGTCTTTCGGCTGCCTCGAAAATAATTGGGGAAATGGAAGCCCGGTGAGATTCTGTGTCAAAGGATTTTCTGTTTTCTGTCTGAAGGTTCAGTTATCGACGTCAGGCCATCTGGTGCCCGAGTGTATCTCCTTGACTACGGGATCGTGGAGAGATTCCGCTTCCCTTCTCTGCGTCATCTCCCGAGGCAAGCGTCGCACCGGCTCCCCCGATATGGCGTAAGCGATCCAAGCGAACAATTATTCAACACCAAGGCTCGAGCTCGAAAAAGCTCCGGAGAGATCTCCAGCTCGGATTTCAAGCTGGGGATGTTCCCCGTTTCAGGTCCGCGTGGTTTTGCCGAAAGAACCCGAGGATTTCTACGACGACTGTGTAGTAGAAGTAGCTATCGGCGCGTCAATTGATGAATGGACCGTGGAAGGATCCATCTTACGTCTGGGTGTGTGATTTCGGAGCACCGTCGAAGTCTATTAAGACTCTGATTTCAATGGATGTCCTTCGCTCATCAGAATCATTGTTTGAATAATTTCCTCCGTCTTCAGTTGGAGATGATCCCGAGGAGGATGGCACCAAGGCAAGTGGAAATGGGGAGCTCCCTTCGGAAAGCGCACCGGACGACCTCGCGTCGGCCTGCGCGGATGGAAGCGGTTCCCGTCAGCATTCCACAGACGATTCCGAAGCTGAGGGCTCGGACGTGGATGAGAACCAGCCGGGAGGTTCAGGGATCGACTGTCCAGACGGAAGATCGGACGCCGCAGTAACCTCCGATTGCCCGAGTCCCACGCACAATGAGAGAATGGCGCTTATCGATGGGGATTCGCTGGAGTCGAGTCACGAGTCGCAGTCGACAGCAGCTGTGCTGGACTCGAAAGAAGCCTCGGAGCAAACTGAACATCAGAGTACTGGCGAAGTCAGAGGGACTGGAAGTGGTGAAGCGGTCGAAGAAGAGAAAACTGACGTTGGCGTTTCGGGAACTTCGTCTCTTATTTGTGATTGCCCAGGCGAGGGTTCTCCCGATTATCCCGGAGAGCTTGTCGATCGCGGGGAGAGCGATCATGACGAGAAACTCGCAACTGTCCCCGACGGCGGGAATAGTGAGAGGGAAAGCCGTGGAGATTCTCTGGTTCCCGATGCCGACTTCCAACCTGAGTCTGCCGACCGAGTCGCGTCCGAAGTTGACGGTGACGTTTGCGTCGTCCCGAAAGACGACGAGAAGTTCGCGGATCCACCGGAGGGTCCTAAAGCCTCCGAAATCGATATTAATCTGCAGAAGAGTAATGAGTCACCGAGTAATGACCGAGAGTCTCCTGCCGTTGTTGAGGATCAGAGCGAAGAGATTCGGAATCCAGAGGGACTTGACGAGGTGCAAGTGAATCTTGAGGATGCCCAGCAATCAATCGAGGTCGTTATGAGCACTTCCGTCGCACAATGTGACACCGTCGACGATACCGAGGCCGGAGCTCCTCGAACAGCGATGGATGTCCTGGAGGATTCGGACCTCCCCGACGAAACTTGTGTCGTCTATCCCGAAGGTGTTGATGAAGTGTCGCGTACTTCAGTGTCATCCGTCGCAGCGGATCCTCTCGCTGCGGGCGAGCCCGTGTGTGCCCTGTCTGCAGAAGTTCCGAAGGGCGCGACAGCTCCCGATGCTGAGAAGAAAGTGATCCAGAGCGGTCCCGATAGTTCCTCGGAAGCCGTGACGGCTCTCGACCGAAAAGAAGATTTCAGTGCAGGGGATCCGGCTCAAGTTTGTGATGTCTCCGTTGAATCTGGCGATCTGCTCGGCTCGAAACCGATCATAAGCACCAAAGTCTCAGGAACGGTTCCCGTACATGCCGCTGGCGACTCGATGCCTACGCAATTCGGATGTTCCGTCGAGCTTCCCGATTGTCCCGGCGGGTCGCAAGCCCCGAACCCGCCCTTCCTCTTCATCGTCAAAGACCCTCCGAACGAACAGATGTCTGCTGGATTCAGCGCGCCAGACACTCAGAAGGCTGTCGACGCTCAAAAGAAAGACTGTTCAGGGGCGACGTCGGCAAGTCCGCAGGAAATCAAAGAGCTCACCCGTCCATCTGAGGTGAAAACCGGAGCCAAATCGAAAGTTTCGCGCCGAGATGGAGAGCTCCAGAACGGCAGGCTCTCAGGCGAGAGCGCTGGATCGTGCTCCAGATCGGATACCCTCGGTAAATCCCCTGGACCCGAAAGCTCGTTCAATGACGACATGCCGTGTCCGACGAACTCGATCGCAGCAGCCGAGGGAAAAGTTGAAGTCCCGGTCGCGGATGCTCGTTCCATCGAAACCGCGTCCGAACCGGTATCCGACGCCGGCTTCGTCGAGGGACAATTCGACGACGCCCCTGAAGATATTCCCGAGATCGATCAGGAGGTCCCGGAAGTAGCTCCGCGGGCCCCCAGCGACGGAAGCGTAGCGCCACCACCCGCAGAGCTCGGTGACGAGGCTGAGGATACTGCGGCAAGCGACCTTCCCGCGACGACGGATGTCGTCGAGAGTACATCGTCGACGGAATCGGACTCGGCGTCTCCAGGGGACTGTGACGCACTGGCGTCGGGAGACAGCGCTTCTGGGATCAGCAGGACGGAATTCGAAGTCGGAGAAGAACCGTTCGATGGATGCAGCCATCCGAGGGAAGAAAGAGGAAAATACACGAAGCGAGTCAGAGACCTTTGTGAATATCCCAAGCTTTCGTTTGACATGAAGAAAGTTCTCAGGGTCAAGGTGAGCTGGTGCTATTGGACTCGATCAAGTTATAGCGATATCTCAAGGTGTTTCATGGCGATGAGAGAGTTCCTTTCTCGTCTTCCAGGTGACTCGGATCGTTAACGCGCGGTGTCTCCTCATGACTTCCGACGCAGTACTCGAGAGCATCGATCGGAAATTGAGCTCGCTAGGCAGTGCTCTCGAAGTTGAGACCAATTGCCGGGCCGGGAGGTTCGTTCTTGTGGAACACCGAGGCCGTCTCAGGAGGGCTTGTATCGCGAACCAACGGCGAATCGACGACAGGGATTCGTTCGACGTATATCTCCTCGATTACCGTGAGTTACGACTAAAGAAGTCAAGAAGTCGATTCCTGCTCCATATCCCATCATGCGGCGGTTTTTCTTGTTCAGAGTCTCCGATCCCTGATTATCATCCTCCATCATTGATCCGATCACCTAATTAGCATATTTTCCCTTTCAGCCGAATGCGCGAACGTGGCCCAGATGTTCAAATGTCCACCGGACGTCGCGGCCATACACAGAGCCTTGCTTTTCGTCAAGCTCATTGGGAGACAGCGGACCGATTCTGTTCGTTACGGGATACCGTATAGGCTGGTTGTCGACAAATTCCTCAGTCATGTTATCCTAGGGCTTGTACTCGAAATCCCCCGTTCACAATCCGTCGCCTCAAGGTGACCTCAATCGTCTCCTATGAGGTAGCACCGAGATGTCGTCATCGGTTTTCGCCATATGGTACGCTCGGTTCGCTCCGGCATCCTACCGCTGTGCCGCAATCTCTACGGATCGAGAGAAATTGATCGATTTGTTCCGATTAATTTAAGCTTTCAGATGAACATTCGTCGTTGCTCTGATTCCATTCCCAACTTTTGTGCAATAAAAAGGTGCATCACCCCCCCGTACCCATCGTCCTCTCTTTTCGTTCAATCCCAGCCTCCTTAGGGGCAATCGAATCATTCTTAATAGCCGATGTTTTCTCGCGGTGAGCTTTGAAGTCGATAGCCCGGGGTCGCTGTCTGGCTCAGGGGACGGAGCGCTCGAGAGTCCGGCTCTCATTCTCCTCTCATGACACACAACAGATTTGAATTCAGCGGGCAGAAAGCACGCGCTACTGCTCTGTCCGATGTCATGTGCCTCCTGTTGATCTCGTGAGAATATAGCCTCCTACAGAGACCTGTTAGCTAGTCTAGAGTAAATCCGTGCACTGCAGATAACCATGGTGTCGGCTGTGATCCCGTTCCTGTTTTTCACTGTGTTTTGGGGGATTATAGGGTTTGTGGTCCCAATCCTGATACCCCGGAGCGACAATCGAGCGTAAGTTTTCGCGGAGAATTTCGTTTTCGACTCGGAAGCTCCTGGCATAAAGGAGTTCGCGGTCTGTCCTATTAGTTTTTCACTCATCCGTACAGTCAACGGGATTTCGTCTCGGAATTTAGCTCCCGAGGTCACAGCGGATTCTTTCCCAAAAAAGATTTTTGCTCGTGCTAATCGTCGCCAGGGTGACAAATTCTCGACAGGCTCCCTCCGAGCCTTCACAATAGGTCGCTCTGGTCGTCGGCTTCGTTCGGAGTGGCTCCGAGAGATTCATCAAGTAAATAATTATTCCCTTTTCCCCAGATTGATCCAGACCCTTGTTATGCTGACGGCCGCATGCTGTTATCTATTGTGAGTATTCCCGTGTCTAGCATTGCATTGTGAGCTGGGGGTTTTCCTACTCTCAGCTATCCCAAGCTGAATCTTTTATTTGATTTGGAATCTGAGAGAAGTCATGTGGTTTCTGTGCAGTGAGCACGCAGCCACATGATGCGGGGCGAGATCCGCGATGAGGACTTATGTTTCGCTGGTATTCGGCCGAAGTGTCGCCGGCTCGCCTTCCGCTATCGGATTCAGCCATCCCGGAACGAGCGCTAATTTTCCGACCTCCTTCATTTCCCTAATAATTTCCTTACATATTATTTTGCCTTTCTATTAGTTGGCTTTGCGTTTGGTTGTCTCAGCTTAATCCCCTCATCGGCCCGATTCTCTCGAAGGATGTGATATGGATGATCACCGAATATTGGTAGAGTACGAGCACTTCGAGCACTAGATAGTCGGGACGCGAACCTGCGCTCAATGTGAATGCTGTGAAAGGAATATAATGAACATGTGACCAAATACGAGCTATGAAATAAAGGGTTGTTGAAGCTATTCTTATATCTACACAAGTTTTTTCTTTCCGCTTGCTTCAGCGAACGATCACAAGAGTGTGCTCAGTCACATACAGCGAGCAGGCTGGTGGAATAGGGATGCCTCCACGAAAGACGAACATACAAAGGGGATCCCCGAAATCGGGGAAGAAATGCCGTCACATTGCTCGCGACGCGAACGCAGCGAGAAAGTGTTCCCTCCTGGGGCAGCCGTGACGCAACACTCGGCGGTCACGTGATCGGACTCGTGCCGTGACGTAGCCGCCTTTCTGGATGTGAACCGGTGAACCATTCGATCAAGAACTTGAGAATCGCTACTCTCTTTCTTGCTGCGGGTGATCCATCGCAACGCTCCTCAGGAACGTCTGAGGACTCGCTCGACGACCTTTTGACTTCAGCTAGATCCCCCGATGTCAGGGAACCAGGTTGGATCAAAGATTAGCCATTTTAGGAAACAACGATGTATATATTTTTTATTTTAAGGAATCCGCTCGAATTATTTGCTGTGAATCCAATGCAAGGTCGATGTCGCGAGCGCAATCGATCGAGCGATCAAATGACTGCATCGACCTAGCGGAGCGTTGGCCAATGCACTGGCTTCAGGAATTACAACATCAATCAGGCTTCGTATGTAAAATACATGTGGCATGTGTTGATGATGAAGACTCATACCGCAGTAGGGATATCTAGCATTCGTTTCCGGTCGAACATCGAGCGAAATTCGTCCTGTTCCTTGCCGAGCACGGATTTCGGATCGCATGGCTAGCGTGTGCAGCGAAACTTCGCTCTCCAGTTCACAGCCGATCGAATCTCGTCTCTACAGCTTTCCCTCAAAAGTATTCGTGGCGAAATCACGTGAATCTTGGTGCCTTCGCAGCAACCCGCGGTCGTCATCTGCGGAGCAGACCCGTCTCTCAACATGGCTTACCAACTTCGGTGACTAGGCAACGCAATTTTCTCCTCGGCATCGTTTTCATGTGTGTTCGCACCGTGCAGGAATGCATGCCTGCACATGGGTCTATGTATGTACAGTTTTGCCCTCTTCACGGACGCAACGCGAGTCCCGCTCTTCTGACCAATAACTTAACAGAAACCAAGAGCGCGGCGCGTGCGTTCTCTCCGAGCGAGAGAAGACTTTCCTATTCTTCGATGGCCTTGGCTTCGGGCAGGAATGTTTCCCACAGCTGCGCCAACTGTTGCTGATTCTCCAAGAGGCATTCCATGTAGCGCACGATGGAGTTTTTGAATTCTTCGATGCGTTTCACCTCGAAACTCTCGACCTCTTGTTTGATGACCTTGGAGATCAATCGGAATTCTTCTTCGCCCCGCTCTACTTTGCCCTCCCACTCCTCGACCTCGTTCTTGGCGGTCGGGATTCGTTCCGAGCGCGAGCTCAGCTGATACCTGTTGAGCTGCTCCCGCTTTTTGGTGAGGGTTTGTTGGGCGTGTTGCCACGTCTGGTAGACCTTGACTCTCTGGTGGAACACCTCCTTAATCGCGCCGACGAGCCCGACATAATCCTGAAAACAAGAGACGAGAATCTTCAGAAGGGAGTCAGGTCGTCTGAGGATGGCGGGGCTTGATTAGGGTAAGCTCCGATTGTGAGCTTACAAATAAAAATCTGTCCCCATCGATTACCTTGAGGAGCTCCGCCAGAAGGTAAAAGTCGTTGTTGGCTTGCTGAGTTTGGGCCTGCTCAACCTTTTCGTGCAATTCGGACAGTTTGCTCAGGCACCTGGAAGAAACCAGTTTATTTAGCCAAGTCCATCGCCGCCAGATCCGTATCCCGCTCGTGGGGGGAAATTCAGCGCCAATGTTCCGGGTCTTACCGAGAAAGTCCAGTGTGCTCTTCACAGTTCCCAAGCATGGCTGCGCTGCGTGCAAATGTGCCAGAGTTCGCGGCTAGCTCTCGTCTCTGTTGTACCATAAAGTCTAGTGAAAGGTGCAGCTTACGAAGTTGGACGTCAAGATTCTCAATGAACAGAGACTTGTCCTCGAACCACTGCAAGATCAGAGGAGGAGACTTGATTAGTATTGAATACCGATCAAGCTGTGGGAACAAGAACGGCGATCGAGAACAAGGCTTAATCTCCAGGCTCCGCATCGGGCAACAATTATCCTCGCTCGAACTCCTCCGTGCGACGCGGCTTCAGCCGACTCGGTTCCTGCCAGGCCTGCTAAACTAACTGAAGAAGATTCTGACTCTATGAATTTTCTACCACATGCGTGAGTTGAAATCGAGCAGCCAAAAGAATTCCGAAGTTCGTCTCGAGGCGAAGGGAAGCATTATGATACTCCATCATAAACAAGTCACGGTGCAAAACCCTAATTAAGGGCGTCCGCCAGTGCTTCATCTAAATTAGGAGTGTACCTGGAGATGAAATTCCGGACGCTGAATCAACTGATTGAGCGGCATGAAATGAGGAATTGAGATGTCACTAATTATATCGGGGTTGAAAAAGTCCAAACTAAAAACGGTATCAGGACTTCCTGCTTTCTCTCTGAACCCATCTTTGAATTCGACAGTATTCCGATGGGACAACGGGAGCCTGGGAGCTTAGATCGCTCGTTTTTTTCCAGACATTCACTTCTCGACAGGATTCCGCACAGACGGAGACATCATTCACCGTTGGATTTCCACAACATTATTTCACGAGGTAATTGACGGATTCTCAATAAAGATTTATACTCACACTATCGTTCTCATCCATCTTGTAGGTGATCTTGTTCACCGTGTCTCCGACCTTGCTAATGAGCTTGATAACTCCCGCTCCTGACAAGGTCGAGGTGTGAGACGATTTTGGAAGATCACCTTCAAGCTCTAGAAACTCCCGAAAGTCTGGATCAATCACAAGAACGGGGTGACGAGAAATTCGAACCAGGAAACGTTCCAACGCAGATCTACGTCTCTCAACAAACTCATCGTTACCCAATTCTTCCTTTCCGATTTTCACCTGCAATGAGCCCAGCATGATAAGGATATTCTCTCTAGGATTCGGTGTTTTGTTCCGAAACTCCTTATGAGTCTCGGACGAGCATTCGGATTCGAGCATGGGGCCTCGGGCTGGCTTTCGGGAAATTCGACCTACCTTCGTCATTCCGACTACATTCTTTTCCGGCGCTGGAGGAACTATACGGCCTGAGCTGACGTGTTTTTCTACGAGTTTCTCATAGAGCCCCAAGAAATCGGAGAACCTACGAGACACTTCGAATTCGCTCTTTTTGAAAACTCCGAGGTTTGTTTTCGTGGTTATTTTGTAGACCAGGTATGCGCTCATGCCGTCGCCGACTTTGCTCGCCGAACCGACTTTGATCTCAATGAAACGGTCGTCCGGTTGTCCATTGGCGCTCTGTGTGAGTTCAAAGAGTTCCACTTATAAATATATACCGATTAGGAAGATCCGAGGTGGGGCATGTCGAATATTGATCGGATCGACGGCACTCCGAGTAAAATAAATTCTTACCACAGCATGGAGTTTATGCTCGTTGTTGTTTTTGGAAACGATTTTCGGAGCAGCGCTCTTGGCCGTCTCGGTCATTGGCGGCGGGACCTACGGGAATGGGGAATTTCAATCGCGTGATCTATCGACGTAGAGCAGATGCCTCGATGGGATCGGGAGCTAGGGAATTTTGCATTGTCCCTCCATATCGTACCTGTTCCAGAGGCGATATTGTGGGAGCAGCATCTTGAGTCTGTGTGGCTGGCGTGATGGTCCCGCTTTCATCGTCATTGAGATCGATGTCCTCAGCAGCTTCCAAAATATTGTGGTTGAGCTCCTCGGGCTTATGGTTGCTGGCAGGATTCAGACTCTGAAAAAATTAGGAGCAGTTCAGCAGGTGGTCTTGAGCGGTACGGAACCTGAAGATCTATTGGTATGCTTCCAAGGACTCCCAGCTTTGAAATCGGAATCCATAGGGGAATTACACGATTCTGCGTTTACTTTTCGAACTGAACGAATTCTCGCAGTTACTGACGCCCGGAGAATAGCAGTCTACGTCATAGCAACTGTGGCGTTGACGCTTGAGTCAAGGTCGCTAGTCAGCGTATATTCAAAGCATAAACACTTTTCAGGAATGCGGTCAGGAGTTGAGGACCTCGATCTTAATCGAATTCGATAACTTTATTCCGGAGAGCGACAACGAGCTCCCTCACCCGGTTTGCTGTCTTTTCGAGATCACGGGAGTTGCTCTTCACCTATCCAAGTTTCTCGGGAGAGAACTAGATCGTGCTTGGCTTGAGGATACGGCCAGCTCATAGGCCGGTTATCCCGACAAGACGCCCCCCGTCGACTCATGACTCACATAGAGTCTCGTGACAAGTCGTTACACTCCATCATCTATTCGGAAGTTCGGCTGAATCATATTCGGTCGCTCCTCCGTATTTTCCGCTAGAGCGTGTTCCAAAATGAAATACAGACGGACCGGCAGAGACGGCTCATTGGCAGATAAAGTTCCGAGAGTCTCCTTGAGTAAAGGCACTATTGGCGCCACTCCTGATAATTGGATTAGATCTGCTAGGCAGGAATCCAATCTGTCTCCGATGAAACTCCTCGAGCGAACTCTATGTTCAGTCAAAACAAAGCTGACGAATCGTTCAGAGGCTCCTTCCTTTTCGGATGAGAGTGCAAGAATGGCGGCGGCTATTGTGACAGCAACGCTTTTTCGGCGCGCTCTGCATACAGAACGCGAAAACACTCTGCCCCGAAGGACCATACACTCATGAATCAATCGAACTCCCCGCAACATCCCTTGCATAGAACCTTCGGAGTTAGCATTGAAATTTCGCAGAAGCTCAGACATTGCTTTCCTTCTCCACTGAGTCGGACACGATTCCGCCCAGTCCGAGTCGCCTTGAAACAAACAAAACGTGATGACTCGGCACAGAGAGGAGCCGTCGTTCCAATTCGAGCGGACCACATCAATCACTCCGACGAATTTCGAATCAACACTTCCGCCTGTCACATTGAGAAGTCTACCGTCGGATCTTCATAAATGGTCGATACACACGACGTCTTCGCATTGATTAAAAGACAAGAACCCCACCAGGAGGAGGCTCTCTCGAAGATGAAATGAATGACAGCAGACCCACAATGTGCGTATGTCTCATCGTGAAAAACGGACACGACGACACTTGGAGCTCGAAAATTTCCCTTAATCACCCACCTCTACTGTTGAGACGAAAAGATCTTCGTCTTGTTCCTGTAGGGGATTACTCATCGTTTCCTGCTGCTGTCGGTCCGACTGTGATGGTGCTACCTGGTGATCGACTCTAAAACCTGAATGCCATCTTGTGCAAAACTCCCCCCGGCTAATGCAATGGAGCCCGGGCCCGAGTTGGCTAATTGCATGTCTGAGGGCCTCGGCGCCAAATTCAAGCGTCATGAGATCGTCGTAGTCAACCGATCAGAGTGAAGAGGCTAAGCAAAGGGATACGTCACAATTTCCGGTCGAGAAAAAGCTCAGAGGTGAGCAACGATTTAGAGGAGCTCCAGGAGAGGTATATCCATTTCCGCCGAAGGATCATTGAAGGTGACTCGTCCCAATGCGGGGAAGTCTGTGAGAGGCTGACCCGTCATGTATCTGACGGGAAATGGTCAAAGAGGTTGCGGATTGATGCTTGAATCCTCCTCTGATATGGGCGGTATAGAGAGCGCCCCCCCGTTCCTTCTCTTGGATCCGCCTGAAGCCTTCGAAAAATTGCAGAATTTCTACGAGTTGACCCGAAAACATAGGGGACTAATAAACATATTTATTACCGTCTAGACAGAATGAGAGGGAGCAACTGCGGCATGAAACAGCTTCGGCAGCGGGAAAGAACCGTCGCGATCTATAATGTACGGTATGGGCTCGCCGTGGACCCTCAGACGCAGATAATGAGGACTCGCTTGTGGTCGGACACTCTGTATCTCCGATACCGGAACCGTGAAGTTCCTCTCCCACGGAAAACCGTAGGTGCTCATGATGATCCGATTCCGGTTCACCAGATGCACACTCTTGACGGTTTGTCGAGCCAGCATCCCGGACGCAGCACTCATTGCAAACCCGATTCCGACGGCGAGCCAGCTCACAACTTTAGTCACAGAGCTTTGTCCGATGAAGTTCGTGACCTTATATACAGCTGATGCGTCCGGGTCCAGCTTTGTTTTCTTCAGAGACTTCTTGGTAGCGTAGATGTCGTAGGTAGCGTAACCCATGTACGTCCAGCACACTACTTGAGAGGCCGAGAACGCCTTCAGGAGCAATATTCTTCCGGGCCTCGTGTGGCTGTAGAGCAATTGCGTGGCCGACATCTTCCGTGAACGTTGGATCTCCTCGATTAACTGTATCGAGTTCTCGCCGTCGGAGAGGTCCAAGGATTGAAGAGAATAGAAATCGAACACTTCACGGTATCATCGTCGTGTTTCGTGGTCATCAGCTGAGAGGAGCATCAACACCGCGCGGGTCTATGTTTACAAATACAGAGCCGACGGAGGGAGAAGTGTGTGGATGATGTGAAGTCCGCGCGCGGGCTGTCAATTAGTGGAGGAGGACAGAAGTGTTCTGCCGAGTTCGTGGCAAGGGCGTGGACTTGAATGTCTCCGATCGGTGCGACCGACAAGAATGCAAACACACCGCGACGATCCTTGTCGGGCCTGAAAGCCTGTCGTTTCCCCCCTTCCCCGCGACCCCCCTCCTGTCTAGCAGCAGACGACAGGTCTGAAGATCAGCTGAGGGAGCTCAGCGATGATAGAATGCGACAGAGGAGCGCATTTCGAGTCCTTGGATAATGTCGTCGTCCTCAGGTCGGCGGAAAATCGCCCATAGTGTAGCCAACAGTGATCGGAGCGAAGATGTTTCCGGAGGCAGCATTCCCACCTTCGAAGCCATGCTCCTGTCGAGGAGAACTCTCATGGGTCTCCAAAAGAGCGGATTTCAAACCCCATCCCCGATCCAAGCAAAAACCATACCCATGGCGAAGTGTGGAGTTGGTAAGCCGAGACCGCAGCAGATTGCAACTTCCATAAGCCCTTAATCGTGAGGGAACCCGCGGAAATCGCTAAAGATTGTCCCATCTCATGGGGGTCTCAGTGCTGTTGTCCCCTTGCTGAGAGGTTTACAATCCTCGGTGGATGTCGAGAACTCATGGAGGTTTTTTTTCTCTTTCCCCCAGATATGATAATCCAGGCAAAATCTGGAACGGGGAAAACTTGTGTCTTCGCTGTGGTTGCTCTGGAAATGATCAACGTTACGTTAAATGAAGTACAAGTGATAATTTTGGCACCCACGCGTGAAATCGCTCTCCAGATCTGCGATAACATCAACTGCATAGGGGTCGAGTATCCCGGACTCAAAAGCTTCGCTTTCATCGGGGGAATCGCTCTGGAGCAGGACAAGGTTCGTCCGCGAATTTCCACTGAAATTATGTGGATCTTGCACGGTCGCGTACATAGATCATGCCCCCCTCCCCACCGCCCCGTCGAAAATAACATGTGAAACTCATATCAGGTCAAGATCCGGAGATGTCACATTTTTGTGGGCACTCCCGGCCGGACGAAGCAGCTCATGCAGGTGGGTTTGCTCAAGACGAGGAACGTTCGCCTATTCGTTCTGGACGAGGCCGATAAACTGTTGGAACCATCTTTCCATGAGGACATCGAGTAAGTTCATACCTAGGCAGAGACTCGGAAGAGTTCAGTGAATCACGGCGAGAATTTCGGTTCTCGATTTTCGCTATCGCATCGGTCGGTTTCCGATGCCGTTCCGTTATGACTGGATTGGCTCGCCGGCGCCAAGTACTGCCTCTAATTCTTCTGAACTCCAGCTTCATCTACGCGGCGCTTCCAGTGAATAAGCAGATGCTCGCCTTGAGCGCAACATTCCCCTCGGAAATGGTCGGACAATTGAGCAAGTACATGCGAGCCCCGACCATGGTTCGTCTCAACAGCGACGACCCCGCACTCCTGGGCATTCGGCAGTTCTATCACACAGTTCCCCATCACAACATTCCACACATAGTATTCCAGAGGAAGTTGAAAGTGCTGCTGCAGATCTTGGTCGACGTTCCCTACACTCAGTGCCTGGTATGTTCCGACAGCTACACTTATCTCGGCTATCGAAAAGGCGGTGACATGTCCAGAGAATAGATTTATTCCCTCTCCAAAAGGTGTTCATGAACTCGCAATTGCGTGCTGAGATGCTCCGCGATAAACTCCGGGAAGCAAACCTGCCCTGCGAACTCTTATCGGGAGCTCAACGGCAGAGCGAGAGGATCTCTTCGCTGATTCAACTGAAGCAAAACAAATGTCGCATTCTCGTGACGACCGATCTCGCGGCTAGAGGAATCGATGCCGAAAAAGTTAGTCTCGTTATAAATTTCGAAGTTCCCAACGACAAGGAAACCTACCTCCATAGGATCGGCCGAGCCGGGCGCTACGGTGAGTCGGTCAAATTCGACTTTTCGTAAATATAGTTGGAATGGAGCGAGCTCTTGGAGCTTCGAAGGGAACGCCTTCCGCTGAGGTCACCATCCTCCCGAATTCCACGACATTTCCGATATTTCCTTCATGGATCCAGTGTCATGAAACAGGTCCCATTTCCAGGGAGCTTCGGCATCTCAATCAGCCTTGCGACCGAAGGCAAAGAAGCCGACTGTTTGACGAAAATAACCGGAGAGTCGAACGTGTCTCTGCAATACATCGGAACCCTGAGAGATTTCAGACACATCCTCACGGTGACAAACGAACCGATCGCCTCAATCGAGAACGCGGTCGTGAATCAGGTCAAATATCCAGCCGCAGAACTCACACCCGAAGATGAAGCTGGAACGCCTCTCACTCCGGTGAGTTCCGCCAGCAACTGCAGCTCTCGACCCGAGTCCCGAGCGTCGAGTCGAGGGCCTTCGAGGAGGAGCAGTTTGAGAAGAAGACAGGCAATAAGGAATTTCGTCACGCAATCCGAACCCTGCACACCCTTCAGGTTCGTGTTCGCAAGACTTCCCAGGACAGGACTCCTCGAAACATTGGGGATTCGGAAATCCTCATGAAATGCTTGATTTCCATATATTCATCATCGTCGTACAGCGTTATTTCCCAAAGGCTTATGATAGCGTCTTTCTGATTGCAGACAACGTTCGAACTCGAGCCTTAGCATGAACTTCGACCCCGAGCACATGTCGTTGACAGATTTGCATCTTATGGAAAAAGTGAAAAAGGCTCTGACTCCGAGCTGTGAAGACGTCAATCTCCGAAGCATCGACGAGGCCCTCGAGAGCCTGTCGAGCATTCGAACGGGAAAATTAGAAGCGCCGCGTTTCCATGGAAGCCTCGTCTGGCAGCCCGTAATGCAGCTCCCGGATCTGACACCCACCGCTCCCGAGCCCGCTGACATTCCCGAAGAGAATTCCGACGATGACGAGTCTCTCCGAGAGGATTCGGTGATTCAGATGTACAGTTTGAACATGCTGAAACCGCCTCCGCTTCAGGTTTCGACTCTCAGACGTTCGCCTCTGAGTCAAAGTTTGACGAATCTCAATCAGATCGTTTCGTCCCTTTCCCGCCAGAACTCGTTCACTTCGTTCGTTCGAGTTCCAGGCTCCGCTGCCGGCGCCCGATGGGAGAGTCGAGCATCGTTGGCTAGTATCTACGATCGCTACATGCGAGGAATGGTCGCCGGTCGCAGTGAATATTTCCAACGACGGTGGTGATTTGAGTGGATGATCACTCTCGTTCAAGAATCGTTTCTCTCCTCAAACTGAGGTGAAGTGAGATTTGTGTCTGGAGATCGAATAACCTGCCAGTATAAATAGGATACAGCGCGAAGACCATCGTTCTCTGATGGTGACCAGGAACAAATCGAAATGAAGAATGTAGATCAGTCATGAGTCTGTTCGAGATTTTGAATGGGAAATGTTTTCCTCGATCGTTTCGAGGTAGCTACATAGATATATGTACGATAGCTGGGAGCGGACGGATGACGACGGGATTCCTGTCCTCGACCTGAGAGGTCCCCGTTGAATTTCTTCAGAGTTCAGAGTTTTATCGCTTGTATTCGTTGTCGGGGAGGATGTAAGGGGATGGATTCACACACGGAAGGAGCACTTCGCGCAATCATTCATCCACCACGACAGGTGCTGATAGTATTTGCTTCGAGCTCTGTCCATGGTAAGAGAGATAATTCACGGCTTTTCCATCCCTTGCCCGTCCCGCGCAGGCGCTGAGGTCTGAAAATCTCCCCTCAGGCGCTTCGGTTGACTTATTGTTGAGTTGAAAACGACTGAATCACTCTTAAGCTGTCGAGATGTCGGCTAATCTGATTCGTGTCGAGTTGAAGATGTTTATGGGAATGCAGATGAGAGATATCCTGTTTAGAATGATGAGAATAAAAAAATCGACTCATCGTGCTCGTCTATATGGATGGTGTCTTCTTGTTGGACATAAATCTAATATCTGATTTATTTCCATCGTAAATGATATCAATTTAATGTAGATGTCGTATATACATGAGCGCTCATTCCTCTTCCTCGTCTTCGCTCGATTTCGCCTTCGATTTCTTTTTCTTCTTCTTTTTGGGCGCTCCTTCCTCCTCTTCTTCCGCGACTTCTTCAGCGACCTTGCTCTTCTTCTTCTTCTTGATCTTTCCTTCGACAACTGACGAGTTCAGGCCGTTCTCCCCCTCGTCTTCAGCAGCAGCGAGGCTTTTTTTCTTCTTGTTCTTTGCTTTCTTCGCTGGAGTTTCTTCTGCTTCGGCTTTCTCGGCGTCGTCATCTTCATCGAAATGCTTGGCTTTCTTGACGAAGTGTTTCGGTTCCTGCTCCTCGTCGGCACCGAAAGATTTTCTCTTGTTTCCGATGGTGGAATCGTTGGCCGGCTTGAACTCGTGAACCTCGCTCTTGTGTTTGTATACATCGAATTTGTTCGACTTGCCTCCCTTCGAAATTCGGGTCAGCTTGCCCTCCTCGAGCATTTTCAGTCGGGCTTCGAGATTGGCGCGGTTCTTCAACGACATGTCGGTGTCGTTGTCTTCCCCTAGAGCGTCGACTCTGATGGCAAGTGCCGCCTTCGCCGCCAACCAACGGGAGGCTTTACCTTTGCACTTTTGACTGCTCTGACCAACCATCTGAGCGTGGTAGATCAGACCGTATTTCGGAGTGTCGTGTTTCGTTTTCAATGCGCGGAAGAGCGCCTTTTCTGCTCCGAGTATCTGAACCGTCGACGCGGGTTGTTTCGACAAATTAAGAAGTGAGCCCGCATGAGCGATAAGTCTCGCTCCGACGAGTTCCCCGACAAGAATGGTGAGGTTTGGAGCGACCGCCGCCATCCGATTCTTGAGGTACTCGTGGAGTGTGGCTCTGTATTCGGTCATTTGAATGACTTCTTCGCAGAGATGTTTGATATTGTCGACATCGTCCGGGGCGATCTCAGTTCCCATTGAAACCTCCGCCAGTTCCTTGACTTTAGCTTCTTGGTCTTCGGGAAGAATATCCGAAAGGTCCAAGGTTATGGCGTTTGATCGCATGCCCATTTTGCAAACGGTTTTGACGTAAAGCATGTTATCTGTGACAACCTTGCCCATTTCCGGGAAGTGCCAGCCATACCTGCAAAGATCAGAGATCGGCTCGTGAGAATGGAGCAGGAAGGAGGGTTTGCGCATTGAGCACAGAAACACGACAGATATATAGGATGACTCATGCGAAACATGGCAGCGAGGCTTGTAGGAATCTTTACTTGACTGAATCAAATTGAGCTCGATTCGGCCGGAGAAGACCCCGTTATTTTTGGAAATCAGAGTCATCGATAGATCAAACCAGACTCTATCATGAACGGAAATATCTGCTTTCCAATATTCGACGCGAGAGGAGGAATGTCCCTAAGTAAGGTTAAGACACACTATCCGATATATGCATTAGATTCGAGGCGTGATTGTCCGAACACGAGTGCCCCAGAAGCTCAGTCAGGCTCATTCTGGGTTATTAGAGTGCCGAATATTGTTTTGGGTCTGTTTTCGATACCGGACGCTATGTATGGAGTCAGGTAGGATGTCAAACCCGGACGAGCGATTGTCCTCGACGTTCGGATCCCAAGCATTGGAAGGGAATTTCCCAAGCCGCACACTCCGATGTACACGTCACATTGACTGGTTACACGTTGCTTATTAGTGCCATAGATATTCAACGATATCTGAACGAATTATGCACACCGATCGAAGAATCAAAAGGTGCAGTGGGTTCGTTCGAATTATTTTACGGCTTCATCTGAGGTCTCATCGTGGCATCGGCCGATGACCTGGGTTGAAGTCGAATGCGCCTCGAACTATTATCGAAGGCGGAACGAGATTTGAAATCAGATCTGATCGGAAGCTCATTGTCTGAACAAAATGTGCACACGCTTTGAACAGTCAAAAGGTGCAGTGGGTTTGTTCAAGTCGTTTTATGGCTTCATCTGAGGACAGATTCGAGCACTGGCTGAACGCCTGGGTTGAAGCCCACAATCACGAACTTATTTTCCAGACAATTCATTTGGAGCAACCCTTGCCCCGCAGAGTACGATTCGGGAGAGGTCCTTACCATTCTTTGCACCTCATGACGTAGTTATTGAGCTCCTTGTCCAAGTCGTCGAGGAGAGAAACGGCCTGGATGATCATGGTGTCCACTTTATCAGGTGAGAACTTGAGCTTGTAACGCGACAGGGAATGTGCGAGTCCAAGCGCCATTGCCGTGACTTCTTTCTGGGAGAGACCCGTGATCAAGGCTTCCTGTTGCGATCGGATGCACCTGCGACGGGGGAGAAGATCGGTTAAATATGAAGAAAGGACTATAGGCAATGGTGGTCTTCGCGAGAAAGTCTGATAGCCGGTGCATGATTTCCGGCAGAACGGAACTTTCTCGAGATGGACGAATGCAGGCACGCTCATTCTTGAATTCAGTGAAACATACCTCATGAGTTCTTGGATGGAGGAGTTCGCCACGCACGAGATATCCATCTTTTCTTTGATGATATTGCCTAACTTAGCGTCCGCAACGGCCAAGGTTTCTGTCGCTTCCAATTTTTTCAGAATCTGTTCAAAGGTCACAAGAGTGAGTAAGCGGAATTCCGGCTCTCGAGTCCTTCTGGACCTCCTGCTCAGCCGCGACATTCGCTCGCTCTAGCCGTCCCTGACGATAACCACTGACGCTCATCCTAGCCAGCAGCGAACACACCACACAGGTAGGACCGATTGTGGATGGCGGCGAACCCTGGCTCGAATCTCCGAGTTCCTCACCTTTTTAAGCGGTTTCGTAAGTTTCCCCTCGATGGCGCCGGTGGCAGCGCTGAGGGCTTGGGTCATGTCTTCGAACTTTTGGAAATGTTTGAGTTTGAGAATTTTTGATGCATCGCTTGCATCCTCAAACTCTTTGAACAAGTTTTCGGATTTCTGAATTTTCTTCTCGTCGAGGACCTGCAAGAAGGACCGGAAATCTCTTGATTCTCTTCGAAGAACACAGACGTCTATGGCTGGACAGCTACTACTGGCCGTCTCCCATCGGACTGCGACCCAACCATAGAAAATCGCCGGTCACGGTGCTCGGGGAACACGCGGTCATCCTTCGCCGCTATGATTTTCTGTCGATTCTCTACTTCGCATGCTTAGTAATCGAATAGAATAAGAATAGGAGCATGCGAATCGAAGAGAGCCACGCGGGTTAGACGCACGTGGGCGCGTATCTCGAGCCTGGCTGTTTGGGTCGAGTTTCGCGACGACTATCTTTGAGCGACTTACCTTGAACACGGCGAAACCAGCCGGCGATTCAAACAAAACCAACATTTTGTGTTATTCACGGAGCCACATGCAATGAATCGATGACTGACGAACGCTTCGAGCTCCAAACGCTTCACTGAGTGGCCAGCGAGAGTGGCCGGCGCAGAAAAGAAGACTCCGCACAAAACACACCACGAGAGGAACCCACGTGCTCATGAAGCCGGAAACGCGGCTTGAGCGCGCCAAATTCGAACGCGGAGCGTAGCTCAGACTCTCGGGGTAAATCACGGATATAATCGCGGACGTCCAAATTCCTAGGATGAGTGTCTCCGTCGGTCGGGATGGGTTCAGATCATTGCTAAAGACCAAGTCGTAGCTGCGAAAAATTGGTGTTTTATCTTCGAATTAGACTCCCAAATCCCAAATACCGCGCCTATTTCGGGATTCGGGACTCGAATGGATCTAGTAGAGATTTCTCTCGTCAACATCGGCTCATCGCAACGGCACAGCAGACTCCGCGCGCGAATGGGTCGGGAGAGATCAAATCGCTCTCGATTGAGTCCGCCCCGACATTCAATAATTGTTTCGGGTTCGAGACCCAGTGATCGAAATCGAGCTTCTGTGGAGCCTCCTCCTCGACGACCACAACAAGAGCACGTGCTTTTCGGTCGGGTCCGGAGCGCGCCAAATTTCAAAAGTATTCCAGAGGAGCCATCAGGTCGGCCGACAGCGTTCCTGGCACATATCTTCGTCGGGGATGGCCAGGAATACGGATCAGGGTATATTTGTCAAGCAGGATCCCATCATTTGATCTGCTTCCTGGTGACGGGCTGATCTGTACCTCTAAACTCAGACTGGGAAGCACACCAACTAGATGGAGAGCGCATACTCTGTTCTCGAAAGCGACTCGATTTTGTGGGAGGAAACTTCGGCGTGTGACGATTCTCCCGTCTAGCTTAGCCGACAGGCCGTGTGGGTCTCCGTTGGCAGTACGCTCATGCGTGCTCGGGTCGGATGCACGATCGCAAGGGCGGGACATTTCGGAAGTTTGCAGCGGAAAGCGCTGCACCGATCCTCGAATCCCTCTCATAACTCGATTGAGCACCGCAACTTCATTTGCGGACTCCAATCTGGTCCCAACGAGCGCCGACGGTCCGACGCAGAAACGAAAGCTGGCCCATGTCTGCTACTCCCTCGCTCTTTGTTTAGGTCTTCTGCTCCGGCAGGATGAGCGTAGGAAGGCGCACCATGAAATTCGGTTTGTACGCTTGTACGCTTGTACGCTCAGGACAGCGTACAATTGTACGTATGTTAACTCTATGGGGAAAGCGTACAAAAATAACGGGGGGTAAAATTGCATCGATTTGGAATCTGTCGATGGGAGAGTGTAGAGGAGGATGTCGATGATCTCTGACAAAATTTCGGGCACACCGGGCGGTTGCTTCGGCACTTCTTCAATGCTGATTTTCGATCATAGGGACCACACCGGGATCACGGAGAACCACGCCGGAACCTCACCGGGATCACAGAGGACCACACCGGGATCACGGAGTACGACACCCGGATCACGGAGGACCACGCCGGGATCACGGAGGACCACAACGGGATCGCGGAGGACCACAACGGGATCACGGAGGACCACAACGGGATCACGGAGGACCACAGCGGGATCACGGAGGACCACAACGGGCTCAAGGAGGACCACACCGGGACCCCACCGGGACCCCACCGGGACCCCACCGGAATCACGGAGGACCACACCGGGATCACGGAGGATCACACCGGGATCTTGGAGGACAACACCGGGATCACGGAGGATCACACCGGGATCTTGGAGGACCACACCGGGGAACAAGCAGAGAAATAGACTCGATGCTCACGCTTCTCTGCGGCTTTCGAAGACGACGTTGGATCCACTGATAGAGTTGCTGCTCAATGATCAAAAGGAGCAGAATGCGCACTAGTTCTGCGTTAAATTAAGGAATAAGAAGCAGCGAACTGTGGTACATCTTATGGAATGATCTTTTCCTTTCTCTCAACGTGGAATCTTCGACTCGTGAGTTCAGTGTTAGCGGTAGGGGGAACTCTGGAGGCTCGACTGCCTCCAGGGGGTACCCAGGACAGAGGAGGCTGAGGACACTGGTCTAGAAAACTACTTCATCTCCTGCGCAAAGTCAGAAATCCACCGTGCCGGCATTCGCGCCGGTCGTATTGCGGAATTCGCTTCGGCTTCGGCACCCGATCACCGGAGCAGACTTTATCGATGAGTTGATGCAACGACCATTTCCCAAGTGCCGTTCGTCTTTCTCCATCTTTTTATGGATGATACACACCGCTTCAGAGGCCGTCGAACTTGATTCTGATTATATTCCGCTTAATGAGACGTGGACCTAGGAGTCGTGTGGTCGATTACGGGTCAAGAATTTACGGCTGTTCTCAAGATCCCGGCTGCTCTGAGCTCTACAATATTTTTTTCCATGGTACTGATCAATTTCCCACCGTTTCCTCGGGAATCGCGTTTTTTTGGCTCCAAATCAGGTTCCCAGCTTTTTCCTCCGGGACTGCGGATAGCAGAACTACCTAAAGTCCATGAGTGAATTATGGAGATCATTGAGCTGGACACGGTCGTAAGGCAGCGGCGGATCCGGGAATCCTTCAAGGGGGCGGCCAATTCATCGAGGGGGGGCGGTTCGGGTTCCGTGTGCTCCTTCAACATGGGAAGTATAGGCAGTCGGGACCCTCGAAGGAGGGGACTTTTGCGCCATCCACGGGGAAACTCTCCGAGCGTTACAATAATCACTACAGAGTCGGCTCGAGACTTGAAGGGTTTGGGAACGAATTAGACGGAAAACTGAAAACGACGACGGAACAAGCCGCATTCAGAGCGAAATTTTTTTTCCTGCGAAAATAGACCCCGTATGCCCTCTCTAGTCCCTATACTCCCGGGGTGGGTGCCTCAGGCGAGCCAAATATGAATAGAAGAAAAACTCCTTCATGAAGCCGAGCAAATCCCGTACTCCTGACTGAAAAAGCCTGGACAAAATCGAACCAACTGCCCTGTAAAGCCATCTAGAGCAGCGGTTCTCAAATGGGGAGCCCAGGGCGGACGCTCGGGGAGCCCAGGCTCTCAAGGCTTTCTCGGAGCAGGTGGTTTCCGAGTTTTCCGGCACGGAACGTGGTTCAAGAAGTTTTCGGCAGAGTGAGAACAACCTTGAATACGATTAGGATGCAGTATTCCTCAGTAGCTGAGATCAGTTCTCCGAGGAGCATCGGGGGGTGTCGTAATCATAAAGAATTACACCCATGCATCAGCAGCAAGCGATCAGTCATTCGGAGAATAAGCGAGAAGCTTCGAGCGCGAATAGGTACTATTTCGACAAGGGGTGCGGAGATATGGCGCATTCGGAGCGTCAGGCCCCTCGACGTCCACACGTTCTAGATGTTCTCTTCATACGACCATGTTCGGCTTGGTAGCAGCTAAGAGTTCCGAAATCGCATCGTGCGTTCGGAGTCATTCTCCTCATCATGCATAAGTGGTTGAGGAAAAGAAAGCTGATGTTAGCTGAAGATGAGGAGGAGGCTTGTCCAGATGATCACCATCGCAGAGCAAAGGAGATACATCAACGAGACGCCGAGTTGATCTACCAAAGGGTAACTGTGGAACCACGGCTACAGAAGGGAAGTTCCATGAATGCTGATGGACTAGAAACTCGGCAAGATTTTCTTCGTCCCCGAACCAACAAATTACGGAAATACGTTGAGGACTATTTGTCTCTCGGATTCATCTGGAATGAAGACCGAGTCAACCCGAAACCTCAGTGCGGAAATGCTATCCAATGAGTCGATGCGGCTCGGGGAGCTAAGCAGACACTTCCAGAGGAGGCATCGTGATCTACAGGGGCAACCGATTCAGTTCTCCGAGGGCAAACTGATAGAATTGCAGAAGTCCAAGGCGCGTCTCCCAGGTTTCATTAAAACCGACAATGTATGGTTGTGGTTATGGTTATAATTGATCCTCGCTAATGTCTACACGTTTTCATTGTCTACATGAGCGACCCTGGTCCAGGGGCGAGTTCCCTCAGCGGATCCTTCGGGTCTCATCGTTCCGCTTCTCGAGCATTTTCTTCGTATCCTCCCATTCCCCCTCATCGCCCACTCCAGTGAAGCCCAGTCTCCTGGCGAGCGCTTCCGTCTCGTGGTGGTGCGAGCCACATTTCAGTATTATGTGTGGTATGGTTTCTATTTGACCGCCGCATCTTGTACAATGCGGGTCAATGGATTCGTATTTCGTGTGTAGGCTCGCGTAGGTAGCATTCCCGCACGGGCCAATGCCAACAGTGCGCTGCCCCGGCCGTTTGTGTACAAGCCGCGTGCAGTCCTGCCTCTCTCCTTCCATTCCCTGTGGAACTCCAAGCTTGATTTGGATCTCATCGATTCTAACCAAGTCTCGCTCAACCAAGCGATATACCAAGCTCAGCTTGCCCGTTTGAGGCGGGATGGAAAGCAGGGCTGAACATCTGGCGAATTCCCCGCGCCTGACGGAAGTCATGGAGTTTCGCCGATTTAAATTGTGTCCCATTATCCGTAACGAGCACCTCTGGATTTCCGAACCTTGAGAAGATGTCGTCGAGTGCGGTTATGATCGCTTCCGAAGTGATATGACGCAGGATTTTTATTTCCGGCCATTTAGAACACGAATCGACAACAACCAGGAAATACCGCTCTCCCATCGGCCCGGCGATGTCAGCGTGGATTCTGGACCAAGGTGTGCCAGGTATCCAACTGGCCAGAGGGACCTTTAGAGGAAGTTTCCCCGCCAACTGGCAGTCCTCGCACCGCTTTACCATTCGCTCGATGCCCAGGTCTATGTTTGGCCAATATACGTAACTTCGAGCGAGTGCCTTCATCCTTGAGATTCCCGGGTGCCCCTCATGTAGTTCCCGAAGGATTTCTTCTCGCAGAATGCTCGGCACCACTACCCGGTCAGCCATCATGAGACATTCGTTAACGATCGACAAACTGTCGCGCCGCGCATACAGCGGGAACATCGGATTCTTCTTATCGACCTTCGGCCACGAGCTCCGGGCGACGTGTTTCATGGCTTCCGGAAGAAGTTCGTCTTGTTTGGATTGCTGCCGAATCATTTCCGCTGTCACGGGAAGTTCGGCCACGGTAGTCGAAAGATCATTTTGAACGGACGCCTCAATCGACGCGATGACCGTGTCTACCAGAGGCTCTTCTT